CCCATTCCTCCTGACAGAACTGGTGGAACTGAGTCAGGTTTGTTGGTCTCCTTGCTCCACTAATGTTCTCCAGGACTGAGATCAGGGCTTTGTGACTCCACAACACTGACTTTGCTGTCCTGAAGCCTCTCTGTAGCTAATCTGGCGCTATGCTGAGGGTCATTGTCCATCTGAAGACCCATTTCTGCCCAAGCTTTAACTTCCTGCTGATGTCTGGAGATGTTGCTTCAATATTTCCACATCATGTTCTTTCCTCATGATGCCATCTATTCTGTGAAGTGCATCAGTCCCTCCTGCAGCAGAACAGCCCCACAGCATGATGCTTCCACCCCCGTGCTCCACAGCTGGGATGGTGTTCTCAGGCTTCAAGCTTCCCCCTTTTCTTCCAAATGTAACGATGGTCATTAAGGCCAAACAGTTCAGTTTTAGTTCCATCAGACCACAGGACATGTCTCCACAAATGAAGCTCTTTGTCTCTGTGTGCATTCACAAACTGTAATCTGTTTTTTTTATGTTTCTTCTGGAGTGATGTCATTCCGATGTCTTGAGATGTTCAACCCTTCAATATTTCCACATAATGTTCTTTCCTCCAGATGCAGATTTTAAATTGGATATTATTTGCAGTACTGAGTGTTTTTTCCTGTCTCAGATTTCACTAGTTATCTGTAATTAAATAATAAAGGACAAATCAGATGAATTATTTTTAAAAAATTATTGCAACAAACTGTTAAAAACTTTTTTAAAAACAGATATTTACTGTAAATAGATGCAGATTTTTTCTGTATTTTTCATGGCAAGCGAGTCTGTTTAAAGTATGTGAATTTACATTACAAAAAGCCGTTGCTTTATAATAAAAACTGAACTGTAAAAAGTAATTTAAACATTTTAAGATGTAAAATTAATTATAACAGAGATCAAAAAGTTTGTGGAAAGATTTGAAAAAATCGTGAAAATTGACAGCAAGGATGTAAAAAAAAAAAAAAGAGAGAGAGAGAGAGAGAGAGATTAAAATAAACGAAATACTTTGATTAAAAACCGCCACAAATACAGCTGGTATTTAACAGGTCGAGTTTTTCTCTGCTCAGGCAGCCAGTAAGAGTTCAAACAAAACATTAAAAACATACAAATATTTCAGAGGATTTAAAAGACAGTAAATTAAACGTTAATTTTAAATGTTTTCTTTTTTTTTTTCTTGTCGAAATCTGTCCTGGACGGATTAAATTGTTTTATGAAATACCATTATTATGCTGGTATGTAATAACAGCATCAATTAAATTGTATGGCTTTGATATGTATAAATATGCAGGGAAAAGCTGTAAATTGTGCTTCATTGTTCGATTATTTGTCGGTTTATTTTGGTTTTCAGCTCCCAGAACTCTAAAACATAAACTCTAAAAATTCATAGTCTGCACGTTCTCTCGTTGGTATTATCGATATATTATAATACATTTAATATGATCGTAAAACACTCATGAGTGGATCAGTTGACACACACGGAGATTCTTTATAGAAACGTTAGAACTTTATTCTGTAGAAAAGCGGCCGCAGCACCAAACCTCCGAGTAAATAGAATAAAAATCTCTATATGTACATAATACAACATTTCATGAGACCAAACAGAAATAAATAAAAACAATCGTCTAAGCGGGGAGGGGGTGAGGTGGGGAGACATCATGAATGAGGGCAGTTCCTTTCACTCTATTGTCACAGCGTTCAAACTCGATTTCCACACTCTATTTTCTGCTTTATCGCTTTACAAATTGTAAAATTGACTTTTCACCTCGGAATAAAAAGAAAAACTCTGCTGGAGGGGGGCAGGGAGGGAGGAAGGGGGGAAAGTGCAAAGGTTTTTGGAGAAATACACGAAATCAAAAACGACTAATTTTAAGAACAAATTAAGTTACTCTCATTTACAATCCGTCAGCAGAGACACGTGAAGAGGAGAATAAATGAGCTCAGTAAGGCAAACAGTGATTCTCAGTCTTATTCCAGCACAGTCCGTCTGTCAGTCTCTCTGGACCGGGCTTGGTCCGGCGGGCTGCTCTCACTCAGTAGATGCCCGGCACGAAGCTGCGGAGGCCGAACAGCGCGTCCTGCTGCAGGTAGGCGTAGTCCTCCCGCTCGGCGGGGCTGCCCGGACTGGAGGCGCTGTAAGCCGGGGAAGAGGAGGACGAGGAGCCGCTGGAGCTCCAGGAGCAGGCGTCGCTCCCGGGGCTCGGGGCCTCGGCCAGGCTCACCAGTAGCGGAGTGTCGCCGGGCTTTCCCGCCTGCAGGTCGGCGATGCGGATGGTCTCCGACAGAGCCCAGATGTAGTTGTGCGCAAAGCGCAGAGTCTCGATTTTGGTGAGCTTGGTCTCATCCGGGAAGGCCGGCAGGACGCCGCGCAGCGCGTCCAGCGCGTCGTTCAGGTTGTGCATGCGGTTCCTCTCGCGGTCGTTGGCCTTCAGTCGCCGGTTCTTCTTCACCACCTGCACCGTGGCCTCGCTGCGGGCGCGGCCGCGGCGCCGCTTCTTCTGCTGCTGCAGCTGCTCGGGCGGCTGGCAGAGAGGCGAGCTGCCGCGGGAGTCCTCGTCGTCGGTGTGCGGGAAGAAGTCGCAGCTGTTGCTGTCGATGTCGGAGTACACGGAGTCCATGCTCGGTTCAGTGGAGACAGAGTGACGCGCAGGTGAGTTCTCGGAGCGCAGAGTGTGCGGAGCGGCACGCGTGTCTTTGCGTCTTTTCTGCCCTGGTGCAGCTCGTGCGAGCCGGTGAGCCTGGCACACGACCGGCCTCAGTCCGCTTATATAGCTCGGACGGGACAATGACCGCCCCCCCCTCACAGACCCCGGAGCCCCCCCGGACCGGCTGCAGGTCTGCCCCGTGCCGCCGGAGCTGCGCATTAACATAATGACGCCCGGGGTGTTTGTGCGCCCCGCACATACAGAAGCGTGCCGGTAATCTCGGCCAGCCAATCAAAGCAGGCGGCCGGCCACGCGAACGACACGCACAAACCCGCACCCACCCCACCCCACCCCACAGAAACCCAGAGTTAAAACCAAAAACATATAAAAGAAAGAAAGAAGAGTCAGTGGGACCCCCACCTCCCCTCCTCCCGGGCGGAGACACGCTCCGGAGGGTTCACCCTCCATTCACCCATTCATCCATCCAACCTTCCATCCATCCATGCATCCATCCATCCACAGAACCACAGAACCTTCATCCTTTACTCCAACAACACAAAGGAGAGTCCTGCGGTCTTCTCTTCAGTCAAGTCTTCATTCTGATGAACCCCTATCAACAGGTGGAGCCACAGTTTAATACGAAGCCTGTTAAATAGATTTTCACTTTGGGTTCACTAAATAGTTTTATACATGATAGGTTTTATCTAGCAGTAATTGCAAACCGAGATTTTTACAAGATTTTCCTTTTGCATTAAGGCACACAGTAAAAAACAACTACTAACACCACTTTCATGCACTGTTACAGATTTGTGTGAACACTTTTTTCCAAAGGTGAACCCGTTTATTTTACGGGTTGATGTACTTTTATTTCTGCAGCCAGTAAAGTCAAGATAACTCAGTGTTTTAATCAACCAAACACGGAAATGTTGATGCAACAAAACAAACAAAGAACAGCTTGATTAACTAAACTAGAAACAACAGGACAAAGATATCTGCTGTAGAAGCATGTAAAAGTTAAAAGTCATAATTTACTGATTTAATCAACCTTTTCAGCTGCAGACATCATTCTGAAGGTTGACATAATAAAGCTAAAGTGTAATTTAAACTCAAATCTGTGCCTTGTTTGATTTAAAACTAAATTCAAGTTGATGTAACTTCATGAACTTAATATTTCTTGAGATTTTAAGTCCTCAAGTAATGTAATTAAATACATAACACTTAAATAATAGGGAAATATTAGTGGGAAATTTTTTTATTTTTACACTTGATTTGAAGTTCCCAAAATAAGACATCTAATTGAAATAACATTTAAAAAGAAAAATCTGTGACATAGACCTGATTTATGTGTAAAGGTGGTTTAAATTTAACAGTTTATTGTTGACATTACAATCATAAACACTTGTTTATTAACTGTAGTTTTAAGTTTTAAAAAAAATCCTTTAATTGTACAGGTAGATATACTTTTAGACAATAAAGACCTGTTGAATATTTAAGATTTATGTGTAAAAGCTCATAATACACTTGATATCATCTAACTTTAATTTTGGATTCTTGCAGTTAAAAATATTACTCATTTTATAACATAAATAGTACTTTTTATCAGTATACCATCATATTATTGCCATGATTATTCCCATTGTTATTATCATTATTATTATTATTATTAGTAGTAGTAGTGGTAGTATTTAACCATATTTATACGTCATTTAGTTGTTTTACATGTAAATACTCTTCAGTAAGAATAAAGGAGCTAAAAAAAAAAAACAAACCATAATCTCATGTAAAGTTAAGAATAGAAAATGTATATAAACTATATACAAGATATATAGATATCTTTAAGACACCTTTGTTGTTGTTTTATTCACAGTGCAGTTGACAAAGGCCTTAGGTTTGTCATTTCAACTCTCACCTGTTAAAAGGATTGTTTCTCCACCAGACTCACACATGTGACTCCAGAACCTGGTGCAAAGAGACAATAGTAGAAAACAGTTGAAAATGTTTGGTTTTTCTTAAAAGCTCCAAAAAAATATGCAGACTCTGGTTGGTGGGAGGTCACAAATCCGCCGGGAGGGTTTACACTTCTGAACTCAGTGTTTCTGAAAGCCTGAAGTCTGGTTCTGGGCTCGGGTTTCTATTGTAGCGGCTCTCAAACATAAATAAGATGCAGAGCAGTAAAGAGCAGATCCAGAGAGGTTGACCCACCGCCAGTCCAGATCCAACAAAACCATTAAGAATGACCCTGATCTTTGGTGTGTGCAGACACAGCGATGCAGCTCATTTTTTCAGCCTCACCTCGACTGTTTCACTTATGAAGTCTGGCTTTTTGTTTGTCTTTTCATCTCTTCAGGCAGCAGTAAACCCATCCAGCGTGAGCGCACATAGAGCCAGGCAAATTTTCTTGAAGTGTTTTTTAAAGACATCTTTATGAGACAGGCATACAATTTTCCATTAATTATTCCATTTATTCAGTTTGCAGCTCAGTGGAGAAGAAGCAGAGACCTGCAGAGTCTTTCTGCTTCTTTATTCTGCAGGATAGGAGGGGGACAGTCATTTATAAATAATTACACAATGTTTAGAGTCTTCAGGCATGTATAATATATCAAAGCGATTATAAGGTGAATTGTTCCATTGTGGCTGTCCGCCCTGCACTTCTTTTCACTCCTCTCCTGGTCTGTCCCTAGTCCAAATTCAGCTTCTCTGGCCTTTTGTGCTGCTTTCTTTCTGCCTCAGCCACTCCATTGGCATCATTCTTATTCAAATGGGCCTCAGCAGGAACAAAACCAAACCCAGGCTGCACACAAATCATCTCTGGCCCGGCTGCAGGGCCGGCACAAGCCTCTGTGAGGCCCCCACAACAAGTCTGCAAATCCCAAATCCTATTTCACCCAAAGAGGATAAACCACACTTTAAAAATACTCCAGCACCAGAAAAAATGATGCAAGTGTCAGTAAAAAAAAAAAAAAAAAGGGGGGGATTCAGTTTTTTCTTAATCGTCTTTCAGAGGTTTGAGTTACATGTCTGCAGAATTGTATTTTCTTGCTTTAGGTGAGACAAAATACATTTAGAAGAGAAGAAAGAAAGGAATGTGTAAAGTTAAGTATAAATCCTCAGGGGGAGACTTTGGTTCTTTTAGATTAGCTGAAAAAAAAAAACAAAAGAGAGAAGAGAAGGAAAAGTCTTTGATAGGATGAGAAGAGTTTCCAGATAAATTAAAGACAGAAGGGAAAAGTCCAAAAAGGGAAAGGTGGAGAGACGGATAGGTTCATTAAATCCTTTAGATTAAACCCAGAAGTCTTTGTGCCAATGAGCTGAAACAAAAACAGTAAAGTTGAAATTGTAAATCGTGTCCTCCAGGAGGCGCTGTAAATCATTCTGCCACTCCAATTTTTTTCAATTCAATTTTATTTGTATGGCGCATATTTACAACAACAAGTCATCTCATAGCGCTTCACAAAGGCAGAAACACCCAACAATCCAAAACATCTGGATTCCCGATAAGCTTCAGCAGTCCGCCACAGTGGGAAGGAACCGAAAACCCCCGCAGGGGAAAAAAACCTCCAACAGAACCAGGCTCAGGGAGGGACGGCCATCTGCCTCGACCGGTTGGGTGAGAGTGGGATGAATTATACAATTTAGTTTACAGTTAAACAAGTTATTAGAATTTATTGTCCTTTTGTAACAGGAGGCATCATGGTGGGGCAGCAGGATGCAGAAGGTGAGGCCAGCGGCTGTAATTCAGGAGCTCCAAGAATCCATACTGTAATAAATACAAAATACAAAATAAACAGCTGGGACATCAAACTTTACTTTCTATGAATACAAAAAACATTTTCAAGCTTTAATTTGATCAATATCAAGTGTATTTGTTTTTGGTTATTATTCACTACGATGCGTATATTATATGATGCGATGCGATACAATACGATGTGATACAATGGTAAATGGTAAATGGTCTGCAGTTATACAGTGCTTTTCTACCTTAGTGGTACTCAAAGCACTTTACAATGTTTTCTCATTCACCCATTCACACACATTCATACACCAATGGTGACAGAGCTGCCGTGCAAGATGCTGCCTGCCACTGGGAGCAACGGCTTCCTCCCACAGTCCAGAAACATGTTGAGGTTAATTGGTGATTCTAAATTGTCCGTANCATTAAATCCTTTAGATTAAACCCAGAAGTCTTTGTGCCAATGAGCTGAAACAAAAACAGTAAAGTTGAAATTGTAAATCGTGTCCTCCAGGAGGTGCTGTAAATTATTCTGCCACTCCAATTCAATTTTTTTCAATTCAATTTTATTTGTACAGCGCATATTTACAACAACAGTCATCTCATAGCGCTTAACAAAGGCAGAGACAGAAACACCCAACAATCCAAAACATGTGGATTCCCTATAAGCTTCAGCAGTCCGCCACAGTGGGAAGGAACCGAAAACCCCCACAGGGGAAAAAAACCTCCGACAGAACCAGGCTCAGGGAGGGACGGCCATCTGCCTCAACCGGTTGGGTGAGAGTGGGATGAATTATAGAATTTAGTTTACAGTTAAACAAGTTATTAGAAGTTATTGTCCTTTTGTAACAGGAGGCATCATGGTGGGGCAGCAGGATACAGAAGATGAGGCCAGCGGCTGTAGTTCAGGAGCTCCAAGAATCCATAATGTAATAAATACAAAATACAAAATAAAAAAATCTGACAGCTGGGACATCAAACTTTACTTTCTATGAATACAAAAAACATTTTCAAGCTTTAATTTGATCAATATCAAGTGTATTTGTTTTTGGTTTTTTAATGTTAAATTGGTACTTACATGTAAAATTAATGGAATTACTGATAAACATGGTTGAATACTTAAATTATGTGATTATATACATCTATGTTAGAAATCTTGTAAAAATAAACAAATAAAAAATATAGTCAAACTAGTCAATACATTTCTAATTCCAAGAATCTACTGTTAAAGTAAAACACTCCA